CTACCGCGACGGCTAAAATTGTGCTTTCAAAGACTAATAAGTGATGAGAAAAATACTCAAGATAAAATGTTAAGTAAAAAAAAAAAAAAAAAAAAAAAGTGAGTCAGGTGGTGGCTCACGTCAGCAGTCCCGGAGGTAGGCAGAGGTGGGAGGATCTGTGACTCAGACCAGCTTGGTCAACATTGCAAGACCTCCTTTCAAAAAAAAAAAAAAAAGCAATCCTGGCTTAGTGGCGCTGGCCTGGAATCCCAGTGATTTGGGAGCTATGGCAGGAAGATGACAAATTTAAGGTCAGTCTGGGCAATTTAGGTAGAACCTGTCTCAAAATAATAACAAAAAGTGCTGGGGATGTAGCTAGTGGTAGGGCGCTTGCCTAGCCTATGCGAGACACCCTGAGTTCAGTCCCCAGTACTGCAAACCAAAACAACAGAAACTTTTCCTACAGGACCCCTCTGGAAAAGCAAGTACAGTACACACAGATGCAGGCAAAGGAGCACCCAAAGCTCCCCCCTGGGATTTGGGATGGGTGAAAAAAAGTGAGTTTCTTTCTGTAATCGTGTGTGTTCTGAACTTCCCTCAACGAGCGTTACCGCCCCTAAATCTGAAGTACCCACCCTAGTTCTCAGCGGAGAGGAAGGACACCTGGAGGACCCCTGCGCCCTCTGGCGGCGCCCTGAGGCCCCGCCCCACGGGCCGGCAGGACGGGGCGGGGCGGGGCGCTCACAGCCCAGCGCAGCCCAGCCCGGCCCCCGCAGGACTCGCCGCACGGGGAAGTGGAACGCACGCTTGGAAACAGCGCAGGCAAGGCTTGGGGCCGGGGCGGCGGAGGTGGGGACTGCGGGCTACTAGGGACTAGGTGGCCTGGGTTGCGCTGGCCCCGAGCCCCCAAACTTTCTCGGAGTGCGCGACCGGCCGGCCCCTCCAGAGTTAGCTGGGGTCTGGCCTGCTTCGGCGTCAGAGTGGGAATCTTTCGCCCTGGCAGTGGGGAGTTTCGCTTTTCCTATGCGCCTTGGGAGGGCATGTGGCACCTGGTTAGCCTTGGGAACCAAGCAGCTGTTGAGGGCGCCGGTGAACTGACCAGGGTCTAGGAAGGGATTCTCTCTTACAGGAACGAGTAGCTTGTCTGTGGCAGGGCGGGTCCCCCAAGCGAGGCTCAGAGTGGCCAGCTGTGAGTTGGGGGTTGTCATGGCTCTCAGCAGGGGGAGAGAGGGAGGGGAACCAGCCCAGGGTGGCCCCCACCCCAGGTTGCCCCTCCTTTCCCTGTTGCCGCTGGCTTGGCGTAGTCCCAGCAGTGTGTAAGTGGTGGGGTAAGGGGAGTTCCCAGCCCAGAGAAGGGTGGAAGCCGGGGCAGCCACAGCCCACAGCCCGGGGAAGTGGCAACCCCATCACCATAACTTGGCCGCAGCCCGACACTGAACCACCGCCCCGTGGACTGAGTTCTGGAAGCTACCTGGAACCACCCGTCCTCCTCAGAACCTATTTGAGTCAGAGTAAAAACAAAACAGGGGGCTGGGGATGTGGCTCAAGTGGTAGCGCGCTCGCCTGGCATGCGTGCAGGGTTCGATCCTCAGCACCACAAACAAAGATGTTGAGTCTGCTGAAAACGAAAAAATAAATAAAAAATAAATAAAAAAATTCTCTCTCTCTCTCCTCCCTCACTCTCTCTTTAAAAAAATGGACCTGTTTCTTTCTCTTCCTCTTTCCCTGCTCCTCCTTAATCTCTCTCTCTCTTAAAACAAAAACAAAAACAAAAACGAAACAGGGAAGTGGGAAAGGGAAAGCGATGGGAAGAGTGGGAGGGAGGGAGAGAAAGGCTGCTGGGCCTGACCTTGTTCTTCACCAGCTCTTGTCCTATAGGGGCTCCGTGCCCATCCACTCCCCTGTGGTCTCTGGGTAGTGTCCATGGGCTTGGGGTTCCACCCTGGACATAGGATAAGTGGGGAGATCCGGGAACCAGAAACAGAGCCAGATGCCACGGAAGGTCCATCAGGTGTCCAGTTCTCTTGGGCTCTGAAATATTCATCTGACTGGTGAGCTTTGGTTTCAAAGCTGGTTCCTTCAGCCTGGTCAGTGGTGGCAGGGGGAGCCAGGAGCTTCCTGAGGCTGCTTTGTCTGGGGCGAAAGGGGAGCCATACTTCCGTGTCACTTGGGGACTCTTAGTCTTAAGGACCCAGTTTACAGCTTAGAATGAAGTGGTAGGACGACTGTCAAGGGTCCGACTTCCCTGTCTTCTTATGCCATGACCTCAGGGCCTCTCTTGTAAAATTGGGCACGCCAGAGAGGTAATGACGGGTTAGGTTAGAGCATAAGCATTAGGAGAGTCTCATGTCGTGAGCTGGGGTAATAGCCACCTCCATTCAGCCTCCTCTCTGGAAATGGGGGAGATTCCACCGCACAGCACCTCCAATCCCAAAACTTCTCATCTAGGGCCCTTCAGAAAGAGCAGAAGTCCTACCCTAGAAGCCATAGTGAAGGGACACACACACACACTTGTGTGTCTTCAGAGTGCCAAACTGGAAGAACTGGAGGGTAGAGGCTCATAAAAATCTCTGGAAAGAAATTCTGCTAACATAAATAACCATGATGTGGACCTTCTGTGAAGATGTTGTGGAAGGGTGACCTTGACAAAATCTGTTAACCCTAAGATTCTGGGATTCTAGGCCCAAACCTAGGTCTCATTTTAAAGTAGTAATGCTATCCAGAAGTCCACTGGCCACAGAGGCTGGTATCTAGAGGGTTCTCGATAAATTGGTCAGGAGAATGATAATGAGTCCTTGCTTGCAAAGATCTGTTCTTTTCCCCTACATAGGGGTGATGGTAGGGTATGCTAGTGTCCTGGTTTTGTGCAGGCTGGAGATCTGCTCTGTTGCAGGGCAGTAAATCCTATCATGGAAGTTACAGTAACAGCTGTGTGCCTCTGGGGCTTAGGGTCATGGAGGACCCTCCAGAGTATCCTGAAACTGAGTTGATTGAGAGTAAGGTTCTTGGTGTGAGTAAGGGCAGGCTGGGTGGAGGCAAAGGAGTTTTAAGATATGAGAGGTTAGAACACGGATTTTTCTGATCCAGACAACTATGTAAGACATAGGTGGTCTGGATCCTCATCCCACAAATGTTAGGTGTGCCTGGATCAAAGAGTTTCAGCCTTAGGAAAGTTTGGGGGGTACTGGGTTAAACAAAATTGAACAGGTTTCTTAGGGCAGGACTTCACAGAGGCTTAATATGTCACTGTGCCTTGTGAATTTCCAAGAAAGGGATATGGACTGTTTATTTCTGCATTCATCCACTGACGCTTTTTCAGAATTGCCTGGCTTGGTAAGTCTCTCTCTCTCTGCTTTCTGGTTCTGGTAAACTAATCTCTGCTTTTGTCCCATAATTAGGCCGATTTGAAGATACAGGAGGCCAGAGAGGTCATTTGCCAGGATTCCCAGAGCTGGCTAAGGAACCCAGGTCTCTTGATTCCTGACATGCTGTTTCTTTCATACAGTGTTAGACTGTCTCTCTGCAGGCTTTAGGGTGAGTGAGAACCCAGGAGGTGCTTGCTGGAGGATCTGGAGGGAATTACTGGAGTAGTCTGGGAGGAGAGGCAGTTACAGCCATCTCCATACTCAGTGCATTCCATGTGCCTCTGCCTCTGTAGTTGTCCACTGGACCAGTGACACATCAGTAGTCCCTCCAGTGTAGGTTTCTTAGGGGGCATGTCAGTTTGCTTTGAAGGTTTTTGTTCTATTAGGCTACTTATTCAGAATCAGAAACCCGCAGAGTTGGAGAGAACTTTGATCTTTTGGTCCAGGATACTCATCTTACAGATGTAAAAGCTGGGTCTGGAGACATGAAGTGACCTACTATGACTCATGCAACTGAACTGGTACCAAAGCCAGGACAGGCATTAGGTCTCTGCCTTCTAACTCAGGACTCACCCATCCGATCACTTTTCACTGGGAAAAGCAATAGGTATCGACGATGCACTTGCTTAGTCCCTTCTGGTCATTTTCAGTCTTTCCACCATACCCACAGGTGCTGGGCTGCTCCCAGAGTGACTGTTGGGGGTGCCTTAGGGGCTTCTGTTCCAACCAGGTAAATAAAAAGTACAAGGTATGGACTTTAGCATCAGATACTGGCTCTGGGTTCAGACCCATCTCTGCTGTTTGCCTCTATGGGACCTTAAATGTGTTTTCTCTGAATTTGTTTTATTGGCCAGTAGGATCGAAGGGCTTCTGTGAGCATCAGAGTCCCCTACTTGCTTAGTAAGTACTGACAGTTCTTACTGCTTTAAGCCACTCTTAGTGGTCCTCTTCTGTGCCTGCCCACCTGCAGTTCTCCACTGTGGGTGGTTAATTATCTGTCTCATTCCTCTGCCTGTCTCTGCTCCTAACCTGGAAGTTCAGCTGAAGACAGGAGAGTTGAAACACCAGAGATGAGTAGGGGCTGTGCTCTAAAAGGGACATCCTATTTGTCAATGGCTTCTTCTTTCTTCATCTACGCTTCCAGACCATCCTGACCACTGATGTGGCTGAGGTCTCTGGGATTAATGCCTCGATGACACAATTCTGCCCCCAAACAAGGGTGATGGGTGATGGGAGAGCTGCCATTCCTGGGGTGTCCCATGCTCTCCTGGGCAGCTTCTCTTCCCTTGGAGACAGGAGCCAGCCCTCTGTCTTATGGATCCAGAAAGGCAACCCTGGCTAGAGATGGGGGCTGGGAGCTGGAGAGGGAAGCAACAGGTTGGAGCCAGAGCTTAAGAGAGAACCTGGGAAACGGGTGGCTTGTTCTGGCTCCTCCTCAGGGGTGTGTATGCGTCTGTCTTTCAGAGTTCTCAGATAGTAGGCAGGGCTGGGAAGGGAAGTTACAAACCCATGACCATGAGGGCCTGTCCTGGGCTGGGGCCAGAACTTTCTTGGCTCTGAGGTTTCCTGATCTGTCAAACGGCCAGATGATTTCTCAAGTTCATTCCAATCCAGGGCCGGCAGCACCCATTCTAAAGTCTGACATTTCAATTTTAGGCCCCTCTATAGAGTTCATCTCTTGGTCCTGGAGGCCAGGCCAGATAAAGAGTATGAGGTTGATTCTGGACTCCCTTGGTCTAGAATCAGGCCTGGTCACTTGCCCAAATTCTCCTGAATGTGTTTTACTCCTCTGCCCTGGTGGCTGTGCTAGGGTGGCGGGGCAGAGCTCTCCCTGGGGGAATGGGAAAGGAAAGCAGGGGAAGGAGCCAGCCAGACTGACTGTGCCGCAGCGCCTGCTGGGTGGGGCTTCCTGAGATGTGCACTCTGAGCTATTCTTTCCGTTCTGCTCAGCTCTGGGCATCTGTTCTTGGCAGGGAGGAGGGCAGGCTGCCTGGACCAGTCAGCTGCTCCTTTCTGCCCCTCCCTCCAACACACACCCTCTTGCAGTAACCCCAGTAGCTGGCCTCCTCTTCACAGATTCCAGAGCCTTAACCCCTCTTTTGCCCCAGGAGAACTGGTGCCCGAGGTAGTAGCCCGGCACACTCACTGACACAGCCCCAGGGGGGATGAGTCCCCTCCTCACATGAGAAAACATTGGTCACCAGCAAGTGTGTTGATTAGGCCAAGAGCCCAATCACTTTTTTTTCTGGTACTGGAGATTGAACTCAGGGGCACTTGACCAGTGAGCCCTATCCCCAGCCCTATTTTGTATTTTATTTAGAGACAAGGTCTCACTGAGTTGCTTAGTGCCTTGCTGTTGCTCAGGCTGGCTTTGAACTAGTGATCCTCCTGCCTCAGCCTCCCAAGATGCTGGGATTACAGGCGTGTGCCACCACCACAGGCTCCACTCACTTCCGTTTCTACCATCTCTGGGTGGAGAAGAGGCTCTGGGCTCCAACTGAGAGGAGCAAACCGAGATGGAGCTGCCAGGATCAGGCAGAGTCTAAAGCCTTGGTCACAAGCATGAGGTAGACAATGTTCTGATGGTTCAAGCTGCATGCAGCCACGGCAGTGGGCAAACAAACTCCCCACGGCTGGCATCTGTAGAAATGAATGCCTTCTGTATTTGAGGAAAAGGAAGTTTCTGGTGGGAACTCTACAGGCCCCTTTCAGCCTGTGGAGACGGTGGGGCCTTCCTTCAGCTACTGGCAGAACCTGGAAGGCTGGCTTGTAGGCTTTGGGCCTCATCTTCCCTCTGTCTCTCTCCATCCCTTCCTCTCCCCCCTGTTCTCCAGCCATCACCCTTGGTCTGGCTAGGAGAGGAGCTGGCTCCCTCTCCTTCCCTCTCTTCCCTAGACAGATATCAGCCTAAACTTTGGCCCCAGCACAGGCCCTGATGGTAGGAAGTGTCAGGGCCCTCACGTAGGCTGTGCAGGTGCTGGGGCAGACACAGAAGCAGGAAGCTGCCGAGGCTGGTGGCCCTGGGCCCCTGAGGCTCCTGCCAGTGTTCTCCTTGGCATGGCTCAGAGGTGAGGGTGGTGGAGGCTGGCAACCCCCTGGCAGGCACTAACAGGAAAGGTCTCCTTTCCTGTGTCCAGAGCTCTATACTAAATAAGTAGGATTAGGTCCTGGCCACAAAACCAGCTTTGTGACAAGGACAGATTACTGCTTCCTGCACAGTGGCTCTCTGGCTGGAGCAGAGAGGGGCAGGTTTGCCTTAGTGCGTGTCCTCTCGGCTCTGACCTTTTGAATCTCAATCTCTGGACCAGCCTCTGCCTTGAGCTGCTGGTTGGGGTTGGAGCCCACTGTGGAAGGCTGACTTGGCCTCCACTTTCTGTGTAAGCCTTCTGCTGTTAGAGGGCCTTAGACTGGAAGCCATGGGAGAAGGGGTGAGGAGTTTGGATAGATAGGCTGTGCAAATGAGGAACTCGAGAGAGGGACTCAGAACATGGCTCTGGGCCAGTCTAGGGCCCTGAGTCTTGACTCCATCTCACCCTGGCAAGGTAACCATGGCCTGGTGACTTCATTCTTCTAAGCCTTGCTGTCTCCATTTGTAAGTGGGGATAATAACAACCGTATCTACCCTGCTGGGCTACTGAAGAGACTTAATGAAATAACTGAAAACAGCCAGTATTTATCTGTATTTTTCAGTGCTGGAGATCAAGCCCAGGGCCTCAGGTACACTAGGCAAGCACTCTACCACTGAGCTACATCCCCAGCCCTTTTTATTTTGAAACATATCTTGCTAAATTGCCCAGACTGGCCTTGAAATTGCGATCCTCTTACCTCAGCTTCCCAGGTAACTGGGATTATAAGCTTGTGCCATCATGCCACACAATTCTCTGGGGTGTGTGTATGTGTGTGTGTGGGGGACTCAAGTGTCAACCCCATTTTCTAGGTGAAGGCACTGGGGCATAGTGAGGTAAAGTGATCATGGTGTTGTCTGCTGCAGATGGGCTGGTGACTGAGGCCCCAGAGAAGTAGACTTGGACCTACTTTCCTCCCAGCAGGCAGGTCAACTTGTGAATTCTTCTGAAGTTGGGGCATGACATGGCAGGGTGAGGAGGCGCAGGGCTCTGTGAGTCAGCAGCCTACTGGGCTGGACCAGACTCTTGAGGTCTGTCTGAGGCTGACCTTCCTCTCTGTGAGTCATGTTCACCTATGGCCGCTGCAACCTCTCAGTCTGGGAATAGGGAGGGCAAAGGGCAGGCCCTGCGTAGCTCAGGTCCCAGGATCATCATCTGCTGATAGAGCTGGCTGCAAGCTCAGAGATCATCTGGTCTTTCTCACCTCAGTTCATAGAAGTGCACCCTGAGGAGGTAAAGGGCCAGGAAATGGTGGCATTGTGGTTTAGTGCACAGCATGCCTTTTGATGACAGGTGCCTCCTGGGCCTGTTCAGCCAGCCATATGTACTACCAACCCAGTGGTGGATGTCAGATAGACCTGGGGTGCTGAGATGGTGCCATGATGCAGACACACCTATTCCAAAGGTGACTTGTCCTCCACCCCTTCCTCTAAAAAGGACACCAAGTTTTTACCTTTTTTTTTTAGTACCAGGGATTGAACTCAGGGGCACTCGACCACTGAGCCACATCTCCAGCCCTATTTTGTATTTTATTAGAGGCAGGGTCTCACTGAGTTGCATTTTTGCATCTCACTAAATTGCTGAGTCTGGCTTTGAACTTACAATCCTCTTGCTTCCACCTCCCCAGCCACTGGGATCATAGGCATGCGCCACCATGCCCAGCAGATTTTTATCTTTTGGTGCAGGGGATTGAACCCAGGGGTGCTCTACTACTGAGCCCCAGCCCGTTTTATTTCTTGAGGCAGGGTCTTGCTAAGTCACCAAGGCTGGAGATTCATATATGATAATTACTTAAGGCGATCTTCCTTCCCTTACACAGCCCCAGACACTCCATACCCAGTTCCTGTACTCTCCCCTGTGCGTCTGGCACCTGTCGCTGCAGGCTTTCCTGCTGCGCTGCAAGGGCTCGGCTCTGCTCTCCTGACACCCGCTTTGCCCCTCACACCTCACTGTCGGGAAGGGCATTCTTCCTGGCCAACACTTTCTTGCTCTGTCTGTCTCCTCACTCTGGGTGGATGGAGAAAGACTTTTATCAAAATAACCCATTCAGAGATCTGCCCTGCTATTTGATCCCCGCCACTTTCCCCTTTCTGAATGACCCTAGTTGTCCTAAGAAAGAAGACATAGACAGTCCTTTATCTCATCCCTGAACCGCATAGGGTGTCCTACAAAGAGAAGCCAGGGCTCTTTGGTTCCTGTAAAGGCTGAGGGTGGTTGCTGACCTGGATCTGGGGTGTCCCTGTGGGGTCCTCTAGGTCTACCCTGGACGAAGCTCTAGGAAAGGGATGGCCCTGTCAAGGGGCCCAGACTTTGTCAGGGCTTCTTCCCACGAGGGACCCAGGAAACTCCATCTTAGCTCTTCCCCCAGCTCTGCCACCTCAGTGGGGAACACCAGGCCTGAGGGACATTTATTTGGCAGAGGAGGCAATAAGGAGCACAGCATAACATAAAGGACATGTGCCCCAGATCCTGAAGGGATCCATTTTGACTCTGCTACTGACCTGCTAGCCCTGTGGTCCTGGGAATCGTTTACTGTTTTGGGCCTTGATTCTCTCATCTGAAAGGAGCATGGGGGCTATGCAACCCGAGGTGCCCTCAACCTGTGCTTCCGGGTTCCTGGCTGTGGGGCTGTCCCTGCTACTTAAGGAACTCCCTCCATCTTGTAGCTCCCTTAAATGACAACAGGGAGTTCCCAGCTGGCCCTCCTTACTGCTAGCCACTGCCCCTGGGGGAGACAGAAGAAACCATCAAGACCCCAGAGATATTGGGCTACAAAACCCACTCCCTTTGGAGGGGCCTTTGGGGCCCCATGCTCACTGTGTGCTCCTGCTCACCAGTGAAGGGAGCAGGTGTGCACAGGCTGTCACATGCCTACCTGACGTGCCACAGCTGGTTATTTAAGGAACCTGAAAGTCCAGTCTCGGGCCTGCTCTTCTGTGGGACCTCTTAGCAGCTTGCTGGCCCAGACCTCTCAGGCTCCCTTGACCCGGCCTGCTACCAGTCCACGGGCTCTTCCCCTGGGGCCAGGCGGCCCTGGCATTGGGCTAGACTGTTCCCTCCTCCTTCTCCTCTCCACTCGGAGCTTGGCTGCACCCCAGCTCTGGCTCTCAGGCTCTGTGCTCCAGCCAGCTGGGTGGGGGCTGGGCTTCCACTCTGGAGGGTCTCAGCTGGCCCTGTGACTCACTGGAGGCTCTACCAGAGCCCTCCAGCCTCTTTCTTGGTTCTGTTGAAAAGCCATCAACACTGGAAGGCTTTTTTATGTGAGGACAGGGAGTTCCCAGGCGCCCAGTTCCTCGTGCATCACATCTGATGCTCAGCATCAACTCTAGTTGCCTCACTAACCCCTCCTCCTGCTTTCTTGTGGCCAGGAAATTACACAGGGAAGACACAGCTCTCCATGAAGAGCTGGCTTGAGGGCAAGAGGGCCAGGGGTTGGGCTGATGGGAAGCAGCCTGTGGGAAGCAAGTAACATGTGTGACCCAGAGAAAAATTAGGAGGCTCTCTTCTCCAGGGAGACACAGCCTGGGAGGGAATGGGGGTGGAGTGAGCTGTGCCAGGCACTCATGACTACTTTGCTTATCTTCCATTTCAGGTCCCAGCAGCTGGGGTTTTCCCTCAGCTCTTTGAGTGGCCATGTCCAACCCTACTGCCCCACCTCCATATGAGGACCGCAACCCCCTGTATCCTGGCCCTCCACCCCCTGGGGGCTATGGGCAACCATCTGTCCTGCCAGGAGGGTACCCTGCCTACCCACAACCTGGTTACGGCCACCCTGCTGGCTACCCACAGCCTATGCCTCCCATCCACCCGATGCCCATGAACTACGGTGAGTCCTGGAAGTGGATGTGGAAGGTGGGCGGGAGGAGCAGCCCTTGGGTGAATGTGGCCCCCTCCTTTTCACTCCCTTCTCTTCAACTTCCCTTTTAATGCCTTTTCCCTCTCATCTGTTTAGATCTCTCCTTCCATTTTGTTTTACTTCCTTACTTTCCCCCCTCAGCTCCTCCAGCCACATGGTAGCCCCTTTATTCAGCCAGGAGGCTGAGTCCGTGCCTTCCCTACCAGGGGCCATGTCTGTCTTAGGAGCTACCCCTGGAACCCCAAACACTTCACTTTTTAAAATACATCCTTGGGGATGACAAATCCTCATCCTTTAGGTAAAGTCTGATTTTTGCAAACACCCCAAAGTGGAGCCAACCTTGGTAAACATCATGGCAGGTCAGAAACAAGTGAGGTTAGAATGCAGTGAGCCAGCCCCTTTTCCTGGGCGTCTTTTTAATTTTGTGGTGCTAGAGATGGAACCCAGGGCTTCATACATGCTAAGCATATGCTTTACTTCTGAACTATGCATAGTGCTTTCTGGTTGGATTTTGACAGCAGTTCCCAAAGAGGCATCCACACAATGTTTGGAAGCTGTGCAGCAGCTCTGGAGTCCTGACGCAAGTGTAGGGCCAGCTCTCACTTGGACATGTGTGTTCTGGTGCGGACTGGAATGCGTCACTCACATGTGAGAGGCTACATGCCCTTGAAAGATCTGCTCTTAATGAGGCTTACGCTACATCCTGGCCCTTATCCTCTGTTCTCCCCACCTTTTCTCTGGCCCTCCATCCCTGAGGCTATTGCTCTGCCAGCTAGCCCCACTCCTGCCTGCTTCTTCCCTGGATCCTGACACCACCACCTGACCTCTGATGGTGTGGGCTGGCTGCACAGAGCCCTAAGAGATGCATGTGGATGGACTGGCTTTTGCCTAAGCCCCCTCATGCCACCCTGGCTCAGGTCACTCTGAGGGCATCCAGAGGACCCTGGCTGGGAAAGGAGTTCTGCACTGTAACACTTGACTTTTGGCTGGAGATACCTGAGCCTTTCAGACAGTGTTGAGAGGTTTTGGGATGAAGGTTACATTCCCAGGTCTCCAGATGGTCCTATGTGATCTGTCCCTAGGCCCTGGCTATGATGGAGAGGAGAGAGCAGTGAGCGACAGCTTTGGGCCTGGAGAGTGGGATGACAGAAAAGTCCGACACACATTCATCCGAAAGGTGAGATGGGCTGGGAGGCAGGTGGACCTGGCCCCTCATGCTGTGGGAATTGGGGAGGGCCAGGCCACACCAACCACAGGCAAAGGCACAGAATTCTCATAGAAATTTGCTGGCTGCCTGCCCTCACTGCTCTCTCCCCGGCTTCCCTATCCCCAGCATCCCTTCTCTTTGACCTTGTTTTGGGAGGACAGTCAATCTGGGAAATCTCCCACCTCTTCCCCAGACCTTGTTTTCCCTTTAAGACCCTAAACAACTGGGGAGCTCCTAATCCACTCTCCTATCTCACATCTGCAAGGCACCTGCTTAGGGCAGACAGATGTGTGACATGCCATGCTGAACTGCAAGTGTGGAGCCACGGTGGTGGTGCAGGGCAGCCCTGCAGGGCTGGATGCTGGACAGGAGGGAGGGAGCAGAAATTCAAACAGCATGTGGACCATGTTCCCCACTGGGGTCACCTCTAGGCCAGGTTGCAGCTGCAGGCTCTTTGAGGGCTCAAAGTAAAAGCAGAGCCTTCAAAATAGGGAAAAGAAGCCCCTTCCACCACTGCCAGGATAGGAAGGGCAGGGCTGTGCTCCTTTGGCTTCTTGGTCTTGTGGTTCTGCTTCCTGGGGAGAGGCCAGCAGACAGGGTGATCACCTGTGCCCCTGGCCGGCTATGTTCCAGGTTTACAGCATCATCTCCGTCCAGCTGCTCATCACGGTGGCCATCATTGCTATCTTCACCTTTGTGTGAGTGTCTGGGCCTTGCTGACCCTTCCTTCCACCCTGGGGAGTTCTGGGTCAGCTGCCTGTCTTGGGGGTGCTTGGCGGGGAGGCAGCTGAGCCCTGGAATGACTCTTCTCCTCTTCCTCGACTCCACAGGGAGCCAGTTGGCCAATTCGTGAGGAGGAATGTGGCTGTGTACTACGTGTCCTAGTGAGTGTGCCTGGCTCTACTCAAGGCGAGGGGAGGAGGTGGCTGGCAGTGTTTCCAGTTGACCGGCTCTACTCAGGGCATGGATCAAAATGCTTTTTTTTTTTTTTAAATATTTTTTTGGATGTTGATCAATCTTTATTTACTCACTTATTTATATGTGGTGCTGGGATTCGAACCCGGTGCCTCACACATGCTACGCAAGTGCTCTACCACTGAGCCACAACCACAGCTCCTCAAAATGTTTTTTGAGAGGGTCCTTCCCAGTGGCCAGTGCCATTCTCCCATGCTGGGGTGTGCCTGATGAGGAGTCACAGAATCACATAGCATGTGGTGGGGCAGCAGACGATGATGACAGCAGTGTGCAGTCTGCATGGAAGTGCCCAGGTTCTCACAGCCAGTTTCTATGGCCCGCACGCATGTTACAGAACTGCTCAGGGTCCCTGGCTTGGTAGTTCTGCCCTAACTCTTCCTGAGTAGCTTCCCCTCAGACCCAAGCAGCTTCCTAGGCCTCCAAGCCCTGGGCCAGCTGAGTGCTGCCAGGCTGGGCTGAGAAACGGCCAAGGGTAGCTCTGGCCACAGTCCATGTCCCATCTCTTCTTCCCCAGTGCTGTCTTCATCGTCACCTACCTGACCCTTGCCTGCTGCCAGGGACCCAGGTGAGTTCCAGAGCCTTAGACAATGAGGAGAGAAGGGGGTGGGACAGGAGCGAGTATTTTGGGAAGAAAATGGATTCCTTGTAGTGGTCGAATGGAGACTTACAAGAAGTACTGTGGTGGTGGTGGTGGTGATGATGATGATGATGTCGGTGACTACCGTTCAGAGGTTTACATAGCACTGTCTGAGATATATTTAGCTACCATTTTTACAGCAACCCTGCAAGATATGTAGAATTTTAACCATTTAATAAACAGGAAAGAGAAAAGGAAAAAGGCAGTGTGGGGAGGGGGGAAGGGAAAAGAAAAATGAGAGGGAAAAAAAGAACCCCAAACCAAACAGGAAGAACTCAAGGCTCAGAGAGGCTGGACAACTTTCTCACAGTCACACAGGTAGTCGGAGTAATAGTGGCAAACAGTTTCAGGTCTTTCTGGCTCCATAGCACAGGTCCACTCCACTGCTCCATGTTGTCCTTTTGAACCCCCCTGAGCAGGTACCAAAGCCATGCCAGCCTTCTCTTCCCCAGAGCAGGGCTTGTCCCTGCAGGCACAGGAGCCAGGTGCTCCCTTGTGCTGAGGGAACCTCTAGGATCTGACTTCCTAAATCATGTAACCAGGCCTTTTCTTCCCCCTAAGGCGCCGGTTCCCATGGAACATCATCCTGCTGACTCTCTTTGTAAGTCTAGAAGGGTAGGGGAGCGCTGTCCCAGGGAAGGGAAGGAGATATCACTGGGGAAGGATGTCCCTGGCTTTCTCCCCCTAATTATCCTTACTGCTAGCTCTGGGTCCCCTCTGTGGCTGCATCTTTCCAGCTCCATCGAATCTACTCCCAGCTCTGGAAGGCCACTGTGGTCATCCCCCAGTGCCTTTGCACGTGCTGGGCAAGTGCTCTACCACTGAACTTCACCCAGTACCTGCCGTTCTTAAATGTCTTCTTTGTTTCTCTCCCTCAGACTTTTGCCATGGGCTTTATGACAGGCACCATTTCCAGGTACATGCAAGGGCAATCTACCATCTTCATGTGAAGTGTGTATTCTTGGGGAGCAGGTGTTCCTGGGCTGATGGTCATCTGTGGGGATGGGTTCTGGGTGGAATCTTCTGGAAGTGGTGAGTTTGAAGTCATTTGTATGTGCTTATGCCTCTGGCTTCTCTTAACTCCTTCCTTCCAGTATGTATCAGACCAAAGCTGTCATCATTGCAATGATCATCACTGCTGTGGTGTCCATTTCTGTCACCATCTTCTGCTTTCAGACCAAGGTGAGGGAATGGAGGGTTCTTCCCTGGCACCTGCCTCTCTTTATTATGAAACCTGGCCCTTTGGGTTTGGCATTTGAATGGCCTGGGAGGGCCCAGATCCATATAGACCAGGGATTTCCGTTAGAGACCTAATCCCCTTTCCCATATCTACACCTGCACAGCTGCCTCCTATGTCTGTCCTTAGCATGACATGGTCATTACTGTGTCTCCAGGAGGCAGAACTGGGACTCTCAGGCAGGGTGGCAGGGTGGCAAGGCCAGTCTGGCTGGGCTGCTAGTGACGGCAGTTGACAGGTACCTCATTCCTCTTCCTGGCAGGTGGACTTCACCTCGTGCACAGGCCTCTTCTGTGTCCTGGGAATTGTGCTGATGGTGTCTGGGATTGTCACTAGCATTGTGCTGTACTTCAAATATGTGAGTGTCCCATGAGGGCTGAGGCCACTGAACCCAGTCCTCACTGCAGACTCCCTGTATAGCAGAATGTAGCAGGGCCCCTCATCTGGGCAGGCTGACCTTAGAACCTTCTAGTGGCTAGCAAAGGCATCCACATACAAGCACCATCCTTTTGGGTTAGGGAATAGTCAGTGTCTCTTTGGAAAGAGCCACAGCACTGGGAGCCCTAGACAGCGCCTATGTTGTCCAGCCTCTCTGAGCCTTCCTATGGGAAGTAGTAGATTAGAGCTGACAGCTGAGACCAGGTTCTGGGAGGCAGACTGGAAGAGGAACCCAGAGGAACAAGATGGACCTGTGTGGAAGGGACTTTGGAGATGTCTGGAGCTGAATCCTTTGACTATAGTCAGCTAAAGGAAAACATGAGGTCCCCAGGCTGATGACCATCTCACCGTGGACTGGCCTTGTCCTTCTGTGGACAGGCACCTACAGGAGAGTGAAGCAGGGCTGCCTTGTGGGTACCCCCTAATTCTGAACCTCATCAGGGTGGTTGCAGGCTAGGGTTTCCTTCCCTCCTAGCCCTTCTTCATTCTGTCCATCCCAGGATGGGCTGTGTGGTCTGTTGAGTGCTGACCAGGACTGGAGGAAAGATGACGGGGCTCTTCAGCTGGTGTGTGCTGGGTCTGTCCCTCCAAAGCTGTCACTCAGCCACTGCTTTTTCTCAGAAGCAGAGTGGACACCTCTGCAGATTAGCTCTATGGATTGGTCTGGCTAAAAGATGCTTTGATTGGTTTTATATGGCCGCTTTAGGATAGCCTCTGCTCCCTCTGCCAAATATGTCACCGTTTCAGATCTGTTCTAGGACCTAGAAGGGCATGCCCCAGGATCCCAGTGAACTGGCTTCCTAGTTCTGTCCACTCTGATGCCTGAATCCCGGGGGTTAGCTGGGTCCTGAAGGCCTGACACTGTACTTTGCTCAGATTTCTAACACCACCCCATCTCCTTCTTCCCAGATTTACTGGCTCCACATGGTCTATGCTGCTTTGGGGGCCATTTGTTTCACCCTGGTAAGTCCCTGCTGTGCTCTGGAAAGCTGAACTGAGGGGATGGAGGACAGGGGACGGCGAGTGAATTTAGGTGTCTTGGAACAGAGCCAGAAGCGATCTTTCCTCACTGTCAAGAGTTCCCGTGATTTTCAGGGCACTCCTGCTGTATTAGTCACACACCTGCTGTTGGAATGCTGGGCAGGAGATGCAGTGTGCCTGCCTCTGTTTCTGGTGTGGACTGCAGGAGGCAGAGACCACCTGTTAGCCTGTTGTTTACCCTAAGCGCGCTTGCTACGTGGCACACAGGCTCCCAGGACAACTCTGCTGACCAAAAAGGAGCTCTGGGCCTCCGGGTACTCACTGGCACTCACTTCTGGCTTCCCTGTCCCTGCAGTTTCTGGCTTATGACACACAGTTGGTCCTGGGGAACCGGAAGCACACCATCAGCCCAGAGGACTACATCACGGGTGCCCTGCAGATCTACACAGATATCGTCTACATCTTCACCTTTGTGCTGCAGCTGTTGGGAGATCGCAACTGAGGAGCCCCCCGTTTCACCCTCGCTGGGTTCTCCCTTCCCCAGAGGGCTGGGCCCTGTGACTGGGGTCTGGGCCTCAGACACTTTTTTCTTCCCCTCAAGTAACATACCCAGTTTCCTTTCTGTCCAGGAGATGGGTAACCTCTCTGGCTGTGGAGGTGTGGGAACCTGTGGTGGGCAGTGGGTGCTGGGACAGTTCAGATCTGTTAGTGGGCTTGGCAGGAATGAGGCTGAGGATGTGTCTTTTGCCCTCTACCCACAATATGGCACCAAACTCTTAGCACTTGGGTGTGTGTGTGTGTGAAAAGAGCCCATTCTATTAACTGAGAGGAAATGTGAACACAGAAGGGACTTTAAGGTGCAGGGCTTCCCCTCCCAATCTGTCACGGGCTTCTAGCCTAGGTAGCTGGAGCCTGTTTCCCTCCTAAACCCAGTAAAGCCAGACAGTATTATCCCCACCTCCTGGACTACAGGCCATTACTCTATACTCCTTAGACTTGGTACCTTTTAGCTCAGAATGGTAAAAGAGATCTGTGCCCAGGGGCCTCTGCACTCTAACCCCATCTTGTTTTTATAACATGTATGTATTGTTTATCTAGGTTAGGGCTGGGGGGAAGAAGAGATGAGCAAAGTACAGGAGCTAATACAAAGAGCATCTCCTCTGAGCTCCCTCCAGGCTTGGATGGTGTGAGAGAGCAGACCATTTGGAGCCTTCTGGTCCCCATTCTCCAAAGTTGCCTGGGACTTCCCTGGGTGCTTCTGAGGTCTTTTGCTTTCTCTGCTCAGGCAGGTAGAGCAGAAAGTGAGGGACAAGAGTCAGTAAACAGAGTAGTTTGTATGATCAGGAGTGTGGCATGGAAGTAGCCAGGGTGAGGAGATGGGTGGAGGCTTGGAAAATGCCTTGGGGCCTCCAGAGCCAGTTTGAGAAATACTAAAACCCACCTCAGTGCCCAAGGAGACTTTAATGCTCTTCCTTCTGCTAACAGGAAGGGCCCTGAGGGCAAGGTGACTGCCTCTCAGCCTGCTCTGAACTCCCACTGGGGGGCTTTTCACCACCTCTCTAGTCAGCCACTGCCTTCTTTGTAATACAAGTGCCTCAAGCTGGAATAGGGGAGGGGACAGGGTCAGTCTATTGGGTAGAGGCGGAAACCACATCAACCCAAGGATATAATTAGGACTTCTTTATTGAGTACTTGATCCTAAATATATCACACAAAGGGACACAATTACAAATGTTATTAAAGTTTTGTTTAGAAGTTAAACCCTGTGTGGCTCTGGTTTTCTTCTTTGGAAGGTGTTGGCTCAGGGAGTGTCTGATTCTGCCCAAAGCATCCATTCACTTCCTACCTCTACATCCTGGCTGGGTCTCTTGCACCTTTCCTAAGGTCACAAATATCCTTTATTGCTGCACTTCCTAGGGAGGGATGTGAGAGGCTGGTGAAGGCTCAACAGTTGGCTGGGGGAAAGGGGAACTCAAACTTGCAATAGTGGATTCCAAAGGGACCTCTTGTTACGGGTCCTTCACAAAAGCTCAGGAGAGCAATTAACTCTCTTCCCCACAAAGCTATATGCATATATAAAATCTTGCAGATGAGGGAGGGAATGGACCAAGGTTCAGAACCTCAGTCTTAAAAAGCACTAGTCCAATCTCTTGAGCCCCAGAGAAGTTGAGTCATTTGGACTGGCTAAGGGTAGTGCTTGTTTGCCTCCACACCCTTATTGCCGCCTTTGATTCTCTATTATTTGTTTCAAGGCTGAGTGGGACCCCACCCTCCTGGCCGGCAGCTCTGAGGGATTCATCCCCAGGGCCTGAGCCTAGGCTTGTGGTGATTAAGCCTCTGTGGTGGCCCTGCTACCCAGCCAGGAACAAGCTCTTCCGTGAAAGGGAGCATACCTGAGTAACCAGCCCCACCCTCTTCCCCTCCACTCCCAAGGGACTCAAACCCAAACCTACTTCCTTTCCACTCAATAAATTTATTTGCTTTCGGCTGGCTCCTCCGTGTGGGAGGGGCAGGGACTGGCAGCAGTCTGGCTCCATGCGCCCTCTGGTGGACCTCACAGGCCAATGACCAGAATCAGCCAAACTGCAGGGTTTCAGTCAAAATACAGTCTAGAGGGTTGCTGCAGTGCTCCTCAGGCCTGTACCCCAGAACCAACTTCAGGGGATGGGGCATGTTGGGAGGAGGCCCTGAACCTCTGGCTCTCATACTCGCCCGTGTTGGATGCCCGCATGTTCTGCCGAGCCTTCATCTGCTTCAAACGGTTCTTGTCCACTTCCCGCTTGGTGAGGATGAAGAGTAGGATACCACAGGGGAAGCCGATGGCCCTAAGGGTAGGGAGATGTGCACCGGGTTTGGGCAGGGGCCAGGCCTGAGACAGAGCTGGGGGGTATGGGGGGATCATTCCAGCTTTTCAATTGCACGAATGCTGCAATGCATCTTGTGTCCACTTGTCCCCTCTGCTGGCTTCTAGAGGGACCCACATAAATCAGATCCTGTTGCTGCCCTGCTTAAGACCCCATAACAAATTTCCATCACTTCTTGGATAAGTCCAGACTCCTGGGCATGGCAGAAAACGCCCAGCTCTTCACTCCTTTCCCCTGTGGCACAACACTCATAAGCATGAACCCTGCACTCCTGCTTCAGGGCCTGTGCATGATTCTCTAGGCAGACCAGCCTCTTTCTCTGAGTCCTAGCAAGTTTCTCTCTAGTTAAACTCCACAACTCCTCCCAGGCTTCCTCTCTCTGGTTACTCTACTACTGAGGTACGACTCCAGCCCCTCCCTTTCCTTCTCTGAGTAACTGCGACTAGGGGGCGCCTTGGTGTGGGGGAAAGAGCATAGAGTCACAAGACCCGGTGAGAATTCCAGCTCTGAGCCTCAGTTCCTTCCTCTGTGAAATGGGGGTGTAATATTTATCTCAGAAAAACGAAAACATTACATGGTAAAGTACTATCAAACCTCAAGAGGTGAAAAAGTGTTAATTTCCCCTATTTTTCTTTTGATTGATAGTATGACCTAAGATCAGAATCACAGCCAAATAACATACAGAACAACTTGTAGTTACTGTACAAATAATACATGATTTCAACTAATTACTAGGATTTGGATCTTTCCCCAAGCTCCCAAAAGGGAGGATGAGGCTAGGGACCCAAGTTCAAATCATCTCAGCTCAGCTAACGCCACAGAAAACCCACTGTCTCCACAATTCCACATACTTTCCCACCTCTCCTGACCCACTCCTCTGAGATTCCATTCTCGGAACCCAACAATTCTGTTCCTATAACCTTGGATTCAGCTCACCACTTGAAACTTAAGTTATTTCTGGGTCCTACCCTCCCCTGGATGCACTCCCCATGGGTGGGCAAAGAGGTAGTTAACACTCACCAGGCTAGTCCCACAGCTTTCATGGGGTTCTTGCCCCTCTTTCTGGGAATGTATTCCAGCTCAGGGGAGAGGGGCTCAGGCTCCTCCTTGCACTCTGGGGAGCTGTGGCTCTGCAGTGCTCTGGTTCTGTTCTGAGAAGCCTTGTTAGCAGTGGCTCCTGAGAGGATTCCTGTGGATGGAGGTAAGGAAGGTCAGCACAGGGATGAGGAGGGAGCTCTGGGAAGGTGGGTACTGGGTGGGAAGGGGCGGTTGAGATCTGAGTTTGGAGTAACAAGTGCTAGGGAGAATCCAAAAGGAAATAGGAAAACTGCCACTGAGGTGGCATCTTTGGAAGCCACTTTCACGTCACTGCGGGTTCATCACCCTGGTGCCAGGAGAGCGAGCTTCACTATTCTTCATTTCCGACGGCAGGATAGGAAGGACCGCAAAGGGACTCACAGGATTAAAACTGAAGATAGTCTACTCCATTCTCTCATTTTAGAGAAGAGGAAACTGAAGCTCTGAGAGACAACAACTGCTTCACCCAAGGTCAAACTGCTAATTACCCAGGGTTAGAACCCAAGCCTTCAGAAGCCCAGGGCTCTTTTCTCTGCACTGCGGTGAGTGTGAAACACCTGGAGCGCGGGAGTCTAAAACATTCTTCGGGGGTCCTTCTTGCAGCCAGACCCCAGAGGTGTTGTGTAACCCGAAGGCAGGGGCATGGACTGAGTGACCTCTATAGAGCATCTTTTCACCCCAGACTCTAAGATCCTAAAGAGTGGTGTGGGCAGAATTGGCTGCCCCGACCGCCTGCTATAGCCGGGTGGGATGTGAAAGAAGAGAAATCTCCTGCAGTCTTGCCCTCCCCGGGGCCCCTCTCCTTACCCCGGAGGACGCGGGCATTTCTCGCCCCCCGGCCCTTCAGCGCCGTAGCAGCTACCACCGCCGCCATGTTCAGATCCCACCCCCCTCCACCGCGCTCTCCGCCGGGAATTGTAGTTTGCGTAAGGGGCCTCCCCCGCTCCTTCCGTCCTGCATACAGATCAGAAACTACATCTCCCAGAAGCCCGCAGAGCGGACTCCAGAGAACTACTCTTCCCAGGAGACCCCGGAGGCGCGCACGCTCGCTTGTTTCCCTCCTATTGGGGGCGGAGTCAGGCCGGGCGGAGTTTGGGTTCTCCCCGCCAAGCCTCAGCCCCTTTTCCAACTCTGCCTTGTGATTGGTGGTTCAACCAGTCAGCCCCCGTTGCTATTGGCCAGGCCGCCTTCGCTCTTCCTGCCCGGGAGTCGCCTACGCCTACTTCCTCCCGGGAGGAGGGGCTCGAGTTCCGCGTCGCCGCGCAGAGCTGACTCTGGGAGGCGTTTGGGCCCAGAGAAGTGGATCGGCCGCCTGCGCCGTATGGAGTCCGAATCAGAAAGCGGGGCCGCCGCTGACACCCCCCCGCTGGAGACCCTAAGCTTCCATGGTGATGAAGAGATTATCGAGGTGGTAGAACTGGATCCTGGCCCGCCGGACCCGGGTGAGAACTGCCTGTGCTCAGGCCATGGGACAGGAGGCGCTAACCCCTGGCCTCTGACCCTTGCTTCTCCCTGCTCCCCTCTTCACCCTACCGGTCATTCCTACCGACATTCCTCTCCCTGCCCCTTTCCCTGCCCCCACACTTAGTTGTCAGGCCTGGCGGGGTGGGGGTTCCCTGACGCCTCCCCTAGCCCTTCCCCTCACACACCCCCTTCCCATCATGCCCTCGGTCCTCTCTTCCCACACGGTTGCCGGCCAACCCCGGGTCCTCAGACCTTGCCTCCGCCTCACACGCCCCCTTCTCCTGCCCCTTAGCCCCAGCTACACCCCAGCCGTCTGACTTCACCCTACCCTGTGGCCACATGACCTACCCCAGCCTCGGCCTTCTCATGCTTATTCCCATCCCTCTTAACGCCTCCTGAGCCTCATCTTGTTAACACTCTCCCCAAAACAGATGATCTGGCCCAAGAGATGGAAGATGTGGACTTTGAGGAGGAAGAAGAAGAGGAAGAGGGCAACGAGGAGGGCTGGGTCCTGGAACCCCAGGAAGGAGTGGTCAGCAGTATGGAGGGCCCCGATGATAGTGAGGTCACCTTTGCCTTGCACTCAGGTAGGCCTCTGAGGAGATCCTCTTTAAATTAGTCCAGGTGGGCATTTGAGCATTGCACATTTGCTGCCTACAGAGCGTTATGAAAGACAAGTTGGGAAAGCTGTTGGCCTTGTCCTGCAGGAGTTCACAGGTAGGGATCAGAGAGAAGAATGGCACTGGAGTCAATTGAGTCACCTGGGTTTAAGTCCTACCTCTCCTTTTTTACCAATTTGTCACCTTCAATAACTTCTCTGGCCTTAAGTTTTCTCTTAAAAAGTTAGCCTTTGGTGGAAGTTAATGAATGTAACCTGAATGGAAATTAGAGGTAACTTATGCTGAAAAATGTATCTTTTTGAGCACATTTTATATAATCTGTTCAATAACAGCTCAACTAAGAAGCTAATAACGCTATGCTCTCTTCACTGTATTCATATCCAGCTTGGTGGCATCCCATGCTGAGAATTGTAAGCCCTGTACTGTCCACAATTTCAGTGGGGGGTGGTGAGGGGAATAGAACAGTTTGAATCTGCCCTGGAGAAGGACTTGGAGCTCAGCAGGTTGGGGAAGGATTTCTCTAATAACTTACTGCTTACAACTTAGAAGAATTTGAATGCTCCTTTTTTTTTTTCCAGGAGAGAAGACATATTGCTTTGGGTGAAAGAGGGTGGGCTTCCTAAAGGTTCTAAAGGACAGAACTCTAGGTGGGAGCCCCATCCCCTCACCTGTGGATTATCTTTTGGGACAGCATCCGTGTTTTGTGTGAGCCTGGATCCCAAGACTAACACCTTGGCAGTGACAGGGGGTGAAGATGACAAAGCCTTTGTCTGGAGGCTCAGTGATGGGGAGCTACTCTTTGAGTGTGCAGGTGAGGGGGCTGGAGTGGAGGCCTGGGGGAGGTCATGTTCCTTTGGAGATCTTTTGGGGGTGATCTGTAGTGGTTGAGCATCTAAGAGCCATCTGTTGACCTTTGTTTTGTATTAGCTCTGGGCTGGGTCCCAGGAACACAAAGAAGAATAACAACATAGTCTGTTGTAGGCTTAGGGGCAGGAGATGCTAATTGGCCAACAGAGTTTAGGAAAGGCCTGAGAGGAAGTAACACTGGCATAGGAGTAAGTGGGAAAAGGATGTGGGGATTTCAGGCAGATGTGTAGAGGGAACAGAGGGACAAGGCAAAGGAAGCTCAGGCTCCACTTGGTTGAGTAGGGACCAGCGATATCTCTACTGGAGAGACCTGGAGGTGTTCGTTCCTAGAGCTGCAGTGTTTGGCCACTTGTTTTGGTGGAGACTGCCTGCTTTTTTCCCTAGTAGGTCATTCAGGGGGCAAGGGATCTGGATCATGTGTCCCCAGCACTTAAGTGCCCTAAATTTTCTTCTTTTCCTGCCCATTTTTCTTGGCAGGCCATAAAGACTCTGTGACTTGTGCTGGTTTCAGCCATGACTCTACCTTAGTGGCCACAGGGGACATGAGTGGTCTGTTGAAAGTGTGGCAGGTGGACACAAAGGAGGAGGTCTGGTCCTTCGAAGCAGGAGATCTGGAGGTAATTTCTTCAGAGTGGGATCCAACTCTGTGGAACCACAGGTTGGGACAAGAGATTTGGGGGCCTGTCTTACCTCCAGTGGACAAGCCTGCTCTGAGCCAGTGTACCCAAAGTTATAACAAATATACCTATTGACTTGAAAGTTCCCACTGATCCCAGAAGCAGGAAAACTTTCAGTGGGACTTAAGGGACAGGTTCCTTAGGTGGGCTGGTATAATGGGCCTCCCTGCTGATCCTTCTTTCTGCCTAGTGGATGGAGTGGCATCCTCGGGCACCTGTCCTACTGGCAGGCACAGCCGATGGCAACACCTGGATGTGGAAGGTCCCGAATGGTGACTGCAAGACCTTCCAGGGCCCCAACTGCCCAGCCACCTGTGGTCGTGTCCTCCCTGATGGTGAGAGTACTGCCTTGCGTGTTCTCCTGGGTGTAGAGGGGGATCCCAGGTTATGCCCTTCCCTGAGCTCCCTCTGGGCCCCAGCTCTGCCCTTTCTCGTCTCCTCCACCCCCTTGCTTAGTGTGTGCCCTCTATTCTTTTTTCATTGGTGTGTCTGATCCTTTAGGAAAGAGAGCTGTGGTAGGCTATGAAGATGGCACCATTAGGATTTGGGACCTGAAACAGGGAAACCCCATCCATGTATTAAAAGGTACCAGAGGTGGGGGAAGTGTTAAACTGGGCTTTCATGGGAGAAGGCTGAGAATCAGGGCAGGACTGAGCCTATCTTCTTCCTAGGGACTGAGGGTCACCAGGGCCCTTTGACCTGTGTTGCTGCCAACCAGGATGGCAGCCTGATCCTGACTGGCTCTGTGGACTGCCAGGCCAAACTGGTCAGTGCCACCACTGGCAAGGTGAGTGGACCTGGAGCCTGGCTGGGGGCCTCTTGTTTTCCCAAGTCTTCTGCCTTTCCTTTCTTGTTCCTCACTCTGCTGCTGTCTGTTGGGGACTGAGGGTCCAGGCCTCCTCTGATCATCTCCTCTGGCTGATAGGTGGTGGGTGTTTTCAGACCTGAGACTGTGGCCTCCCAGCCCAACCTGGGAGAAGGGGAGGAGAGCGAATCCAATTCAGTGGAGTCCTTGGGCTTCTGCAGTGTGTGAGTGTGAGCCTGAGCCTTGGCTTGGAGATGAGAGGGACTGGGGGAGAAGCCTGTGGGGGGCTGGGCAGGGGGACCAGGGAGGAGAGTGAGTATGAGTCCAGGGTCTCACAAGCTTCCTGGTGCTCCACTGCCCAGGATGCCGCTGGCAGCTGTTGGTTACCTGGATGGAACCTTGGCCATCTATGACCTGTCTACCCAGACCCTCAGGCACCAGTGTCAGCACCAGGTAGGGTAGTTGGAGCTGGGTTGCTGGTGGGCTGTGGTCATGGTCACAGAGAAGCCCTGGCCTCTGGGAGCGCCACCCCAAACCTGGCTCCTACCCTCTCCTTCACTGTGAACCTCCCTCACTGAGAGTTGGGAACAGATGTCTTTCTTCTCCCATCCCCGGTATCTGACACATCTGCCACCTTGCTCTGTGTCCTGGGGCAGTCGGGCATCGTGCAGCTGCTATGGGAGGCAGGCACGGCTGTGGTGTACACCTGCAGCCTGGATGGTGTCGTGCGCCTCTGGGATGCCCGGACAGGCCGCCTGCTGACCGACTACCGGGGCCACACAGCTGAGATCCTGGACTTTGCCCTCAGCAAGTACGTGAAGTGGGAAAGGCTGGGACCACTGTATTTGGAAAGTGGCACTAGCATAGGGTCTTGGGGTATGGAAGGGATTTCCAAGATGGGGGCATTGAGACCCAAGGCTTGGTTGCAGCCTGTGAGGCAGCAGTACTGGGAAGCCTGAGGGTTTCCAGCCCTGGGAGTCATCTTTTAACAAGTCTTAGGCCAGTGGTCGGCAGTGATCTGCCCGGGTATCGCCTCTTGGTCATGAGTGTAGAGGCTGAGACTGATGCTCCATCCCCCTCAGCTCTGTGCTCCCATGCGAGGGGGACTGCCTCTCCTGCCCGCTCTGCTATTTGCATGGAGGGTTGATGGTCAGCGTGGCACTAGTTATTAGGGACCCAGAATCAGAGTGTGCTGCTGGAGCCTGACCCAGGGCCTTAGTCCCTTCAACCCTGTGCTTTCTGTTTACAGAGATGCCTCCCTGGTGGTGACCACGTCAGGAGATCACAAAGCGAAAGTATTTTGTGTCCAGAGACCTGACCGTTAATGGCTGTGGCCTCTGACTTGGTGTCTGGTGTTGAGGGGGATGAAGGGAGACCCCCCCTCGCCCTGTGAGGCGCAGGGTACAGAGGGAAAAGGAGGGGGGGCTCGATAGCTTCCCAACCCCTTTAACTGACCTGCCTCCCTCTGTCCTTTTCTTCTCCTTGAGACCCTGCCCTCGGGCCCCCTCCCTTCTCCTCACCCAGACCTAGGGGCCCTTCAGCGGGAGGGACAGGCCTCTTTCTCTTTCACTTTCATTTGCTGGTGTGAGCCATGGGTGTGTATTTGTATGTGGGGAGTAGGTCTTTGAGGTTCCCGTTCTTTCCCTTCCCAAGTCTTTGGGGGTGGAAAGGAGGAAGAGATACTAGTTAACAGATTTTAAAAATGTAAATAAAATATACTTCCCAGAGGCAGTGTCTGTGAAGGTTTTGTGGTGGCTGGATACAAGGAGGAACTGGTGAAGGCCATGTCAGTGGGAGGCTCTCCCAAACTGCTGGATGTTGAGAGTGCCAGCCCAGCCTCTCCGGGGCCGTGGTTTGTTCACACTGACAATTACGTGCTTGTCTGGAGTGGAGTCTCCCTGGCACACATCTGTCTTGAGGTTCTTTCTGTGACTGTTCCACCAGCCACCCTCTTGAGGTAAGGAGTGAGATCACTATAAGTGGCCAGAGGTGCTTTATTCCCTCAGGGTGGTGATACAACAGGGGAATGATTTCTGTTCCAGAGAAGAGGGGACATATGGAAAGGGATTTGATGGCTGAGATGGACAGATGCTTCTAGGAAACAGTTGTGGCCCTTCCCCTAGTTCAAGTCCAAGTCAATGATGCTTTGGCTGCTGGTGTGGTAGGCCATGCTGGGACCAGGACTGTCCCTGGAGGTTCTTCCCCACAGCATCCGCAGCCACCTTTGCGTGGCTGCCCTCCAGGGGGCTGTGTAGCGCTGATCACCCAGACCCATGGCCACAGGCACAGCTGCTGCACTGGCACTGCCCAGTGAGAGGAGGGATAACAGAGTTCCAGGCCCTAGTGGTGGGCGCTGCTCATAGGCCAGGACCGACAGGAGCAAGGTGGCCACATAGGGCCCCCAGCATAGCCCAAATAGCAGTGTGGCTCCGGCTTGTGCCTTGGCCTGCCTCCAGGTGAGGGTGCGGGCCAGGGCAGAGGGTGCATCGCGACACACTGCCCGTTCCAGCCGGCGGATGTCCTGTAGCTGGCGGTGGGCAGTGACCAATACTCGCACAGAGAGAAGGGCAGCAGCCCCCACAGCAGGCAGCAGGAGCCCAAAGATTTCAATGTAGAGGTAGGGAGCTGGGAACACAGCCTGGGAGCTACAGTTGGCGTTGGGGCTCCAGTGGTTCCAACCCAGAGCCGGCAGACTGGCAAAGAGCAGGGGACCAGTCCATGTGAGGAGCAGGGCCAGCCGAGTGCTCCCTTGGGGCTGGAGTGGCCGCAGCACTGCTCTGTAGCGCTCTCCATGTACCAGCAGCAGATTGGCCAGCAGAGAGAGGAAGGAGAAGTTGGGAGCCAAGTAGAGGAGGAGGCAGGACCAATAACCCCTGCGGCTTTTGTTCCACAGCACTGGCAGCGTGGGCAGTGCCAGCCCTGTGAGCATCCCAGCCAATAGCAGGCTCAGGAAGAAGCAACCAGCAGGGGGGCTGCGCAGGTGGTGGTCTCGGGCGATGCCCAGTGCCAGAAGAAGGTTGGCGGCCACAATGAGGCTTGCCAGGGTCAGGGAGAGCCCCATAGCCACCATGGGGATGGGGATGGCCACCTCCCCAGTGCTGTTGGATGTCATCTTGGGCCTTGGAATGGGGGAGGTCTGGAGCAGCAACCGGCATGCCTGGATGGAGGAGGGGGTGGCCAGAGTTAGCGCGGGGCTTCAGGTCACTGTCCTTCTGGTGGGGACTGCACAGTAATCCAGAGGCTGCAGACCCATACTGTGGGCCATATCCTGTGTGCCGATACACATTTTTTGGAATTAGTTGCCAATTTTTAAAATTATATACAAGAATTCATATTTTGGGTTTCTCTGCAAAAAACGAGGTATGGTGACACATTTCCTGTATGGTAGCAGGGCAGTGGCTGCCTTTCAGGCAGTTGACCAGTCTCCAACAGGCAGCATTGCCCATTTCGGTCATCTGCCTGGGCTCTGGGCAGCTGTGTTTATGCTTATTTAGATTGAAAAGCAGACCCATCCAAATAATTTTGTCCAGCCTCTGCCCCACCCAATGAGGCTCTGAGCCCAAAGAAATGACAGGGTTTGGCCGGTGTGGAGTGGTCTCTTGCTCCCCAAGCCTGGGGCACAGTGGGGTGCCCTGTCCTTGCACCTCCACCCCCTGCACCCTTGCAGTCTGGTACAGCTCAGTGAGCAGCCTCCGGGTCGGACTTCCAGTCCATAAACTCATCCACTGCATGATAGCAACAGGCTCTTCCGGGGAACTGGAGGAAAGGGCGGGGGAGGGGATTCATGCTTGGCTTTGAGCATGGAGATGCCAGCAAGCAGAGTTAGGACCCCTGTGCTTCCAGATGCTAAAGTGGATGGATGAGGACAGGGAGGAGGGGCTGCTGGGCAGGGCCTGGCCTCTCTGTCCTTCCCTTAACTTTCCATCCAGGTTTCAGCCCCATGGCCACATGCTGGGGCCAGAGGGAGGGGTCCTGGGTCCTGTGGGAGCTCCTGCTTCTGTCAACAGGGAAGCAGCTGCTGTTGCTAGGATCAAAGTCAATAAGGAAGGGATTCCTCCCTCCCTTCCCTCCATCCTGGATCAGAATTGGCCTCAAGGCCACCCTGAGCACAGTGTTGCCTTCTTGCCTTCCCTTCCCACCTTACCGCTAGGCAAGTGCCCTTTTCCCTTCCCTTACCTCCAGTTACCATTTTTTTTTTTTTGTAGATGTACACAATATCTTTATTTTGTTTATGTGGTGCTGAGGATCGAACCCAGTACCTTACACCTTTGGCAAGGGCATTACCCCGTTCTCCCCAGCCACTCCTGTTTCCTCTTACTGAATCTCCTCCCAGTGCCTCCCACCCAGACATCCTTCCCCTTTCAGCGATTCCCCCAGTTTCTGTTCTCCTTCCTCCTTACACCATCAACATTATTAAACCCCATAAGACTTGGTCTGAACTGGAGTTCCTAGCACTATTCTGAGTGAGTCCCCCACCCCACCTACACCAAAGCTATATTTTATGATCCTACATCAGCTAGTACAACTATATTTTATGATCCTTGAAGCAGCAAGAAAGGCAACGATCAGCCCCCCAGGAGTAATGTCCCAGCGGGGTACACACTGGGCCACCACATACCCTGGAAGGTCTGTGGCCTGGGCCAGTGCAATGGCCTTTTCAGGATCTGGGCCTGGGAGACTGGCGGGAGGGGCGTAGGTACTCACATGGTGGCTGTGGACAGGTGTAGCTCACCAGCCTGGGCTTTCCTGAGTGTCAGGGAGTCACAGCAGCTAGCCTTTCAGGGCTTGGGACCAAGTCTGGTGTTCTGGCTGGCGAGTGCATGGTGCATCCACTCTGGGGCAGTAGAGCCCCAGCTCCCCGTCCAGGCTCTACACTGCCCGGGTTCCCAGAGCTGTGGCCTGCAGGCCCAGCCCTGGCCCCGCCTCTGGGGGTGGGACCTGGCACATTCTGAGCTGGAGCCACCGAGAAGCCTCCCTCTTGGCTCCTTGTCTCCCCTCCTTATCCTCCCGTACCAGTGACCCTCTCCCTGGCTACAGGCCACATGGTGCCACCTAAGTTCCCCTACTTAGATGGTGGTCTCCCTAGCTGGGAGCCTTGCCTGTCACTGCCTCACTCATCTGAAAAATGCATTTCAGTTAATGAATGGTAATGACTGCCTACCCCTACCCACCTCCTACATCAGCTAGTACAGCTATATTTTATGATCCTTAAATCTGAGGCAGCCAGCGAGGCAAGTGCACAGCCAGCTCCCATATTCCTGCCAGCACACCCAAGGGTAGTGTATGTGTGTGTGAGAGAGATGGTGGCAGTGGTTGGGATCTTCAGTCCCCCATCCCATCAATTGAAGGGCCTTTTAGTTTATAAGACTACCTTTTGGGATTACTGTGGGGAATATCATGGGCCAAGAAGCAAACCAGAGATACCCGAGTGCTTGATGCTAAAGGGAGAGACGAGGGAGGTGTCATCTCAACAAATGACTGTTATCCTTCCTCGCCATGATGATCTTTAAGAGGTATGAGCCCCCAGGGCATGGTGGCACACACTTGTAATGCCAGGCACTTCATGGATGACATAGGATCACAAATTTGAGCCAACCTGGGCAACTTAGGGAGACCCTGTATGAAAACAGAAAATAAAAAGGGCTGGGGATGTAGGTCAGGGGTAGAGGAATGAGACTGGGCTGGAATAAGAGTTGGCTGCGATTCTACTTTTTTTCCAGCTTGGGCCAAAACTTTGGTGGATTGCTAAAGTTCTCTTGCCTTGGTTTCCTTATCTGAAAAATGGAACTCCTAATTATACACACCCCTTATGGGACTAAGATCATGTGAAACAGACCAGCAGTTGGTAGATAGCACCCAATGAAGGACAGTCATTAACATTATTAGGCCTTCTGCCCTTTTCTGCACCTGTACCCTTTAGGACTCTGCTGAGAAAGGCAGATAGGGGACCTATGAAAAGCAAGGGAATGACACTTTGCTGCACAGAGAAACTGAGGAAACTCGGTGAGAGGGAAGGCAGAAAAGCCAAGAGGTATGGTGCCTGATTTCCACCTTCTATCAAGAGTGGCTTTGGGGTGAGGGAGGAGAGGGGCCCAGCCACACTCCCTTAAAACTGGAACAGGAAGGAAAAAGCTGCAACCACAGCAAGAAGGCTCTTGGTGAGACCTGAGGAACAATCTGAAGAGCACAGCAGAGAGCAAGGGGACTTCCATGCTCTTGGAGACTGGCTCTGCTTGCCATTCAGGGTCTTGCAAGGTGGGACTTCTATTGGGACATAATAGGAAGAGAACAGCCAGCTTCAAACCCATTCTCCACAAGGTCCTCAGATCCATGCTATCTGGCAGGGCTGGGCAGAGATCCTGGGCTCTGGAGAGTTCAGCCTAGGATCTGAACAGAAATGGTTGCAGGGCCCCTTGAATTTGGGGCTGCCAGGAATAAACAGACTGCCTTCTGTTCCCAGCTCTGGCCTCCTCCCCACAGGATCTAGGATGTCTGTGTTTCTTCTTCACTGCTCTGTCTAAACACTGTGTGTGGCATGACGTGTGAGGGGTACAACTCAGGCGGGTGGGAGCCTGTGTTCTGTCCCCCACTCAACCTGCTCCTTCCTTATCAGATCCTCTGGTTCTTCTCTGTTCCCGTCAAGCCTTGGGACTGACTCATGCTCAGGCTTCTCCCGTTTGCCCAGAAGGCTCTGGTGCAAGTTTCCAGATGCTCCATCTGGCTGGTTGTGCCGGGACCTGCTCTCCTGACATACAGCATGTCAGCGTGACTGACTGGCCCAGAAGCCTTCTGGGCCTTCTCTGTCCACTACCATCTCTTTTAGGTATTTGAATTCCTCTGCTGACCCACAATGTCTGGGAATCAGTGGGTGCAGTACATGAGGCCTTGTGGACCCTGGGTGACCTCCAGCTGCTGCTTCAACATTTCCCACTTCCCTGTGGTAAGAGTGGATGAGCTCTACCCAGAGACTGGCCAGGAGCTAGGAAGCTTTTGGTCAGCTGTTTGGGCAGAAATCCTGTCCTTTTTGTTAGGTCTAAATGGCAAGATAGGACTGGGCTGTGGCTCAGTGGTAGACACTAGCCTAGCCTGTGGGAAGCCATGGGTTTGATCCCCAGTGTGGCCAAACAAACCTGGTCAGATTCTTCAGATCTGGGACAGCTGTCTGGATAGATACCCTAGAAGTCACAGGAAGTCTAGTGTGCAGCAATCCCCAGAAGAAGGTGGCATTGGTTGGCCCCACACTCATCATCACAGCAGACCCAGCTGCAGCTGTTGGATCAAGGGTACAATGGGATGGGCCATCTGAATGGCAACTGCCCTGTATCAGCTGCCACAGGAGTTTGCTGCAATGGTCAGGATTTTTTTCCTTTCTTGCTCAGGTTCCACTTCATCCAAGTAGAGAGATTCCCACTGTCCTGGCTGGCTCAACTCCCACCCAACTCCACAATAAGGGCCATGCAAGCAAGCACAAGTACAACTATCATAGAGGGAGGCCTGGAAAAACCCCAGGACTTGAATAAGGTTTGTCTTATATTGGACTTTGACTCTCCAATAATCCTTTGAATATATAAAGGAAACTAAAATTAAGTTGCATTTAAGTTATAATTAGATGGCAGGAGGTGTAGCCTAGTAGGAATGTGCTTGTTTACAATGCATGAGATCTTGGGATTGATGATGTCTGGCAGTGCCAAAATCCCAAACCAAAACACACACAGGTATTATAGATTCCCATGATGTGACAAACATTTATCTTTTTTCTTTAAGCAGTCTGTGGAGTAGATGGCATTACATCCAACTAATGACACAACTAGGATTTTGTCACAGAACTCTTCAGAGGTAGAACTTGGATTTGAACTAGTTTCTTCAAAACCCTGTTTCATATCTGTGCAGCTCAAATCCAAAGACATGCAAAACTCCCAGGTGTGGGCCCTCAGGGCAGGTGATCCAGTTAATAATAATCCTAACCACATCACATTCCTCAGTGTGCTTGGTCCCCATCATGAGATGTTCCCCTCCCATAGTCCTATGGGCCTTGAGTAAAGTCACGGTGGGTCTCTTTGCCCACAGAGGAGCAAGAATCTTGAGACTCCTTCCACACCAAGGTCAAGGATGTCTTGGAAATAGGTAAAGAGAAAGGGATAGACCTGGAAGGGGGTTTGCACCAGCACGGGTTTTTATGCTGACAAAGCATCTTGGACTTAGATATTCTTTAGGATTTACTACTGTAAAGAATGTTTAATTCTTTTTATTATCCTAACTTTATATTTTCTAAATAACCTGGTTTTGCCACCTGTAGTACTTCAGAACAATCTGATTCTATTAGCAAGAAAACAGTGAGTTCCAACTTACCAGGGAGTGATGCTGAAGCCAGCGAGAACACAACTGGTGCTAGTCAAAATCAGCCTTGAAACCCCTTTAAATAGTGATTGGGGCCCAATACTTCTCCCAGTATATTTATTTATATTTAGCCTCATTTTCCACCTGCCAGAAGCAGGTGGCCAGGGAACCTGGAGCTCCTTGGAAACCACGTAAATGAAGTAAAAAACAACCTGCAATCTGGGACTCTAACTACTTGACTGTGACTCAGTAAAAAGATACCCCTCCACTCCCATCCAGGTAGGAGTGCAACAAAAACATGGCTCCAAATCAATATTGAATGGATGTGGCCCCTAACTGAGCAGTCTATACTATTCCATATATACATTTTGGTGATGCGGGTTGAACCCAAGGGCCTCATGCATGCCAGGGAAGTGCTCTACCACTAAAGCCATATCCCTATGCTATTCCATTTTTTAAAAATGTTGGTGTCAAAGTACACGTGAGGAAAATGCACAGAAATACACAACACAGACACAAACAAGTATATTTAATATCTAATAAAATGTGAAGAAGGTGGACAGACTCTGCCAATGTCATTTTCCTGGTTGTGACAATATACTATAATCATTCAAGGTATCCCCATTGGGGAAACTAGAAGGGAGGTAAATAAAATCTCAAAGTAGGGCTGAGGATGTAGCTCAGGGGTAGAGCACTTGTCTAGAATGTATAAGTCCCGGGCTTTGATTCCCAGTATCACAAAAACAAACAAAAAAATATATGAATCTATAGGTATTCCAAAATCACAAGTTTAGGGGAAAAAATGCTGGTTGTTATATAGTTGGATGATTTCAAAATTCATTAATGGACCTCAAACCAATCTAAAACACTGCCTGAGATGAGACAGAAGGCAGAAACCATTAGGATAGCCCTCAGACCATTTCAGATGCCCCTAAAACTCTCTGGATAAATTCCTTACCAACCAAATTTCTGGAACCAATTTTATCTCAGGGATCAGTGCTCTGCTAGGTTCCCTACTCTGTTATATGGCCATCTTCCAAAGACAGCTTTGTGGACTGCCCATCTTTTCAGATATTGTGTGAAAAAGAGGAACTGTGTCTGTAAGTTTACATGAGATCCACACCTGAATAGCCATGGATGTCCTGCAGAATTAAATGCACCAAAATGTTGCACGCTTTGGGAAATGCTATGCATCATTCATTACAAAATAAGCCAAAACCACTTTAATTTGCTTGTCACTATCCAGGAGATTCCTGGCCATGTAGCCCCAGCAACCAAGCTTTATGTGAAGTTTCTAGTTCACTAGCTAGCCATTCTCTCCTCTAAAGGTGAGGATAGACATTGCATGGGCTCCTGAACCTAAGATTTCTCAGCTCAGGTCTGCCCTTCTTCTCTCCTCTTCTCTTTTGGACTCACCAGTCCAGAAACCCAGCAAATTCTTAATTAAGATAGAAAGATTTTCTTTATTAATGTCCCCAACCGTATTTCTTTAGATACAGGAGTTTTGAACTCAAATATTTAGGAGAAAACAAGTTAGGATTGCATTATCCTGCAACTCATTACCAATAACATATTGCAAAGCGAAACAGCTTGGAAAAGAGGGTGGGAGGGAAGGGGAGTGAGGGATGGAAGATAAAAGAAAAGGAATTAAGTTGATCAAGTGGAATTCTTTTTTTCTCTCTCTCTTTTTTTTTAATTCTTGAGAACTATGAAGTCCTTGCAAGCACAGCTCGTTTCTGCAGATTATTTTCCAAATGCGTACAAAATGGAACCCAAAGGGAGAATCCCTTAAGAACCTGGAGAGGTGCAACATGATGGGCTACGATTATCCAGTAGCAAGCGGTCCAGCCTTCGGTCACCAGCATTTCTTCCTCTGTTCCCAAGAGTTAGCGGGATGAAAACGTCTTCCCCCTCCAAAAGCAGAGAGTAAGAGTTAAGGATGATTTCTGGATGTCCTTTCCTTCCACCCCACAGTCCTGGACTAGGTAGGGGTAGGATACCAAAGGGACACCAAACAAGAGGAGGGAAGGGTGATTCTTCAGGCAGAGGTCCTGGAGCCACAGGGGCAAGGTCAAGACCCAGTTTTTGCAGAATGGTTTCACCATCTTTCTTCCTATTGAATACTTTGGGGTACCAGGTAATGACTATATTAATCCCTTAAGGACACCAAATGTATCAAGTAGATGGAGAATCACCTGTCCAATTTCTAGATGGCCCAGATGGATCTGAACTTCAGAACGCACTCAATTGTCCAGTACTAGCTAGTTAGCTTAGGCTCATCTATTCAGCAGATCCCTTTGAGGACTCCTAGAGAGCAGTTCTTTAATCTCTCACCAGATGGCAGACAGGTCAAGGCAATCTTTAAACCTTCCAAGGTTAAAGACAGCTCTGTCTGTTGTCATGCAGTGACTCCGGCCTGGTTCTCTGTTCCTGAGCTCCACCCATATTTACCCAGAAGGGTTCTCTTCTCAATTTTTCCTGTCCAAATGTCTCACCCATTCCCAAATGAAATCATATTTGATCACCTGTCCCCCTAGATAAAAAGCAGAGCACTGACAGGTACTGATTCTCAGTCGACCTGAGATCCAGGGCCCTACTTCTCAGAGCAGGACCAACACCTTATTTCACCTGTTCATGCTTCTGTAAACTATTCCCACTATGCTTATGGGGCGCCTGGCTTCTCCTGCCCATGGCTGAGCAACTTAACTCTTATCCCTCATTAATAACATAATCTGGTTTTCATGGAAAATGCAGTTATATCCCTCCCTCTTCTCCTTTTTGGGGCCTAACTCTGTCAAAGAGATCACAGAGTAGAATAAGTGGAGCCACTCTAAGTTGTCGGATGGAAGTTTATGGAAAATATGTTCACAGTCTCATCCTTTTCTAGGTTTCCCATCAGGACAGGAAGCTACTGCTAGGCACTGCTACATGTGAGACCAGCAGGGCTGGCCTTAGTAGTCAAACAACTACTAGGGCAATTGTGACGCAGGCAGCTCTGGAACTATTTCAATATCCTGACTTTTAGACAGGGTCTCCCTAAGTTGCTGAGGCTGGTCTTAAGAACTTGTGATCCTTCTGTCTCAGAGTTGCTAGGATTACAGGTGTGCACCACTACACCTGGAATCTTTTATTTTTCTTGGTCCCCTGTCCCACCCTGAGCCCTTTTCTTGAGACTCAAGATGTTGCCCAGGCTGGCCTTGAACTCCTAGGCTCAAATGAACCTCCTTCTCAGCCACCAGAGCAGGTATGTGCCACCCTTTGGCTGCAGGTAGATGTCAATTCTCCTCCTGGCCTCTAGTGAACTGCCTCTTTCCTGGTACTGAAAGTGGCATGCAATTGGCTGCCTCACACTGGAGGTCAACAAAGTAGTGCCGGGTGAGTAAAGTGCTCTGAAGAGCAAGCAAACAAAGGAAACTGCTGATGCCAGGATGGAGACAAGGTTCTGAAAGGAGAGGCAGCAGGAGCATGTGTGTCCCCAGGCACATTCTCACCTGCTACCTTCTTCCTAGTATTGTCATTGTGGGATATGCTATGCAGCTGCAGAGCAGACTAGAAATGGCATAGTATTTGGACATGCTACTCTAAGTAGAGGATCCAGCTACAGGCTGACTTCCATTCCTTTGGGTCTGAGTGGCAGCACAGAATACAGAATGGCCTTTGTCTAAAGTTGTAGGTGAATTCAATTGCTTTGTGAAAACACCTAACATTCTGTGACTGAAAACCCTCACCTGAGGCTCAGTATTCAGCCAGATAGCTCTTGAATCCTTTCAAATGGCAACAGAAACTAACTTGGTAGAAAAGGCCTCCACATCAATGGAAGGAGCTTGGTGCCTCTACATGCCACACCCACCAAAGATTTCTCCTAATAGCAACAGTGCTGGCGAGTGCACTGGCCTTGATGGGGAGGAGAGCCTAGTTTACCTCAACATCTCTAATTCAAGGGCACAAACAGCAGATAAACTGGGTATGGTGGCCCAGGCCTGTAATCCCAGTGGTGTGGGAGGCTGAGGCCCTAAGCAACTTAGTGAGACCCTGTTTCTAAATAAAAATACAAAAAAGGGCTGGAGATGTGGCTCAATGGTTGAGCATCCCTGGGTTTAATTCCTGGTACAAAAAAAAAAAAAAAAAGGGAGAGTGCACGAGCGAGTGCGCACGTGGAGAATAAACAGTCTTGAGAACAAGACAACTCAAATTTTATCAGGAGCAGAACTAAGACCTGACACCTTGTCCAAAGACTGAGTTTTCTAAGTCCTTTGCCAGGTCGGGCTCTCCCACACAGAGCTACACTGTTCACAGCTCTGTTCATCACTTCCACCCTGACCAAGGTGGCCTTCCTTTCCACGCCACCTTCCTGCTGAGCAGACCAGGAGAACGAACACTTGGGGTGATTTCAGGCCTCTTTACACAACTAAATGTACATAAGCAACTTACTCTCATACACTGAGAATAGTGATTTAGTAAAAAGGTCCCTTTGTTTTTCCAAGCTGCCATTCTTTCAGCTCACAAAGATGTGGAAACAAGGAAACCCCTCCTGGTCCATTCAGAAGTGAAACTCTGTGAACCCCACCTTCACTCCTGTAGCTACAGGCCCAGCCCAGTTCTGCTGGTCTCACATGCAGCACTGCCCAGACACCAGCAGGGCCAGGCCATCAGTATCTATTTTCTTCTGGGTTAGTTCAGTCCTGTCCTACTTACGTGATTGTTTTCATTTCTTTTTTCTCGGCATCTGGGCGTGCACGGTTCAGCACCTTGAGGAAGTCAGATGTTTTTGCCCGCATACGAGTGTGAATATAGGCCTGGGAGCAAACACAGCAGGTACTGAAGCAGAGGTATGCTCTAGAAAGACAACTCTTTCCTTAGGAATAACCATTGGGAAAATTTGGGAGCATATACTGGGGAAACTGATCCAGGCCACATAGCAAACAGAAAGGGGAACAATTCTATAAACACAAACTCATCTCTCTGCCTTTTCAGTGCCGGGATCAAATCCAGGCCCCTGTGCATGCTAGGTAAGCCCTCTACCACTGAGTCACTCCCCAACGCCTAGCACAAGGGATGATTTCTTGAAGTCCCTGGAAGTATCTACTTAAGAAACATATCAATAACCTGGACCCAGAAGCTGGTGCCTCCTCACCTTAGAGCACTTGATATGGTAGTGCAAGTAGTCCCGGAATGTGTGGATCAGGTTGATGGTGTTGTCTCGAGCACTAGCGTTGGTGTGGCGAGGGAACAGCACTGAGGGTGAGGGGAACAGACAAGGCATCAGGGCGCAGCACGAATGCCAAAGGACTGGAGAGATCAGCAGCCTGTAGACAACTTCATGCTATCTGCCTGAGTTCAGTCTCTTTGCTTCAGTAATCACAAGCAGGGTTTTGACCTTGTGACAAAGTGGGTGAAGAGTATAGCCGGGGGCGCTGCCAATGAGTGCAAACAGGGGAGTTCATGGGAGAACATGGGGCATGGGCCTGAGCACTCATTCCAGGTCTGGAATTTGTGATGGTACATTCTGATATCTATTCCCTGACTGCCACATGGTTACCAATTCCTGCCTATCCTGAGTTCTTTGTGCTGAAGTACAAAGTAAGACTTTAGTGAAATGTGATCCCAGAGAAGATCTTATATTTTTGCTGGAGAAAACCAATCAGTGGGATCGGCTTGATATAAGGATCTGAACTTTCTTGACAGGCTGGGCTCCAATCTGCAGATCTGTGTTCCTCCTTTCCCTTGGGCTTTTTGGAATTCTCTTATCTTTTGCACTTCCTTTACTCATTGATCTTAGTATCAGCAAGACCCCCAAAGTTTTGCTGAAATGAAAAGGAATGTCTTGGCCTAAAAGGAAATGGACATTAGGCTAGGAGGTAACTGTTTCAAAGAATCTACTATGTACATGACTGTAAATTTACCAAGATCTTATATACCATAAAGAGATGTTGCCAATTAAACTGAACACCTTTCAAGGTGCACCTCAAGTTCAAGGACAATAATATGGGGGGAAAGTATATATATTTTAAATTTAACATAATATGATAAATCAAGAAATTCATCAATAAGCAGGTACACCTTCAGCTCAAAGGTCAATTAAATAAAACTTTACAAAACATTTCAGTGGCATTAGGTACGTGTGTGAATGAACCAGCTCACAGGATGAAGTGTTGGAAGGAGAAAAGACTGGAGTTAGTTTCTTCAGTGGAAAGGAAAATAAATGAATGATAGCTGAGCTCAGGCTTAAGCAGCAAAAAAACCAAGAAATATCAAATGACAATGAACTCTAACTGCTTAGCAAAGCTGATGTGGTTTTGTCCCT